TAATGTCATTTCACTAGGAAAATATTTACCTAAACTTGCAAATAAATATCATATCAACAACAAACTGCACTATTAAAAATTAGTCCAAGCATAAGATTTATATTTAATATTATATATAAAAAAATTAAAATTATAGTTCTAATAATATATTGCTATTCATTTGATTGCAAACTTCTTGAAATAAAAATTGTAGATGTGCTTAAAATCTTAAATTTCATTCTACATTACTCAACAACAAGAGTTGTTGAATCTACAAGCACTATATAAGTTAAGTTAGGTTAGGTTATACTGGCCATCCAAAGAGGATCCCCTTAGCCCTATTGACTTATTGGCTACCATATAATGAAAAACCTGGGGTTTAAAACCACCTAAAACCTTGGCGAAGCTTAGTCAATTTTTAGACAAGATATAGCTTACTTAATGGCGATTCATTCCGCATGAAAAATACTACAATAATCCGAAAGCCTATAGTAGGAATTTTTTTTCAGTCCCTCTGAGAAAACTTCACTGTCTACACCACTACGTATTTTGGATCCGTCAGTAGAAATGGTTAGAAATACACCACACCAAATATTTCCTTTTTGTCATTCTACCATACATTGGTTACCGGGATCAAATCTTGCTTGCAGCTGCATTAATGATGGATGCTTAACCGTATTTTTTTTGAGGTGTTCATATATTAATCCTAGTAATGATGTTAAGATATTCATATTAAGACAATATATATCATTAGAGTGTATTCGTAATATACTCCATAATGAAAATAAAATACTATACTTAACTTTAAATGAAATTTTGTATAATTTTTTGTTATTTTCCCATATACGAATATGTACATATCACTTTCGGGCACAATACTAAAATACACTTTTCTATTCGATTTACTTTTTGCAGTGTACAGAATCGAACATTAAATAAACGATTTGTTTTAAATGTATTTATGTGAATATGTATGTATCAAAGTAAATAGTAGCAAACTGCACTTTGTTTTTACATTATTTTTATTAAATTTATGCATCTCATAGGTTTATGTTTTTCAAAATGTCCAATTGTCTGAAGTGTTTATTTTCTAATTTAATAAAAAAAGCTAATTCAATAAATTAAGTAGGGAAAACTATTACGAAAACAAAATATTGGAAATATTGTAATAATTGACGACAAGGAAATGCCCTACACAAAATTGTGTTTATTCTTAAATACACAATATTTGACGAAGACATAATATAAAAACCTTATTAAATTATTAACAAATTGACGACAAGGAAATACCCTACACAAAATTGTGTTTCCTCTTAAATACACAATATTTGACGAAGACATAATATAAAAACCTTATTAAATTATTAACAAAACTATTTCACTTAAGAATTGATTTAAGCTTAATAAACTTATACCATGTTTCCACTGTGCTAAAATAATTCTTGTTAATTAAATTAAGACTTCATCGTTTCCACTGGCATAAGTTGATTTATGCATGTGAAAGAGTTTTTATATGTCATATTTTGCAATGTTCCATTCGACATATTTGGTATAATTTTTCTTCATTTATTCTTACCGTAATCAAATAAACTGTTTTAATGAAGGAATGGGTTTTGCTATACTCGTATCTTCCTATCATAAGATATTTTCATATTTTCGAACCTCAGAATAAGTGAATCGTGCTTGTTGTAAACTAATGTTTAATCAAAAATCCCTTGTCCTGATATGGCTCCAGCCTTAGTTTTCTTCTTTCAAAACTCAAATTACCACTTGAAGGCACCCGTTTTCAATTAGTTGATGACATAAAACAGAATTTATGGCAAGTGCTAAAGTTTATTCCAAAAAATGAGTTTAAAAAGTTTTTTAGTGATTGGGTTGAGTGGCGAAATGTGTTATTCGAAAACAATAATATAAATTTTGAGGAGTAATACATATTTTTGTGTCATAATATTAATAATTGCAAAACATATTGAATATTTTATCTTGAGATATATTTTTGAAATTCTGGTGCCAATGATAAAAAAAATATGTCTTTTATTAAAGCATTATCTGTGGGAGCGGGTCCTGTCTTGCTAAATTCCTGTTGTCATTTTCGAAAGTGCGAAATTCTCTTGGTCCTGTTACGAGATCATAGCAAAGAATAATCAAAGAAAATTAATGAAGCTACACACAAGACGATACAAGGACAATTTAATGAAATTAATTCTAACCGAAAACATTTCTCAATTACGGGTAACAGTTTGTGGTGTATTACATATGATTTCATTACTCTACATAGAATATTATACTGTATTCAATATCTCGATTTTCTTATAATGCAGGGAAAGAGACTTTAGGATCCCTTGAAACCATATGTGTTCTGCACATGATAAGACGAACTGATATCTGTTAAGTGATATTTTATCATCCATCTGTTTGTATGTAAATATATAACTGAATAAATCTTCAACTAACTGAGCTAGTGAAATTGAACTTTGCATAGCAACTTCAGTGAATCCATACAGACTGGATCTGCAACAAAATAAACATTAAAAATTGAAAATATTTTCAAAAACGAGTATATGTGTAGACTGGAAAAATCTATATGCAACTGTATCTGAAATATGCAATTACTGACGTAAAGTATCGTGCTTTAACTATCTGTATGAAGGGTATGGATATTTGAATAAAGCCATTCTTTTCCTATATTATATTGGAGTCATATTGAAGTCGTATATATTATCGAGTATAATCGACTATATAATTAGGTTTAATATTGATATATATTTTACATGTAAATGTAACTGATCTGACATAACTACTGCCTCATGTAGGGTGAGGTGATAAAAATAAAGCGATATCAATCAAATAAGTAAAATATGCTCAAATCATTGACAACTTATAAGGAAGTAAATGTATAAATATTTTTTATTTATTACTATTTTTACATTAATTTTACTTTTGGCACTGAATGTCATAAAGTCTTAAAGTGTGGCTGAGCACAATTAAAATTCTGTGCAGTACGTAGAGATGTGCGAACTAATAGCAGAAAATATGAATACGAATTAGTTTGTAATTATATTTGCATATATAAATAATACTCGTAATATTAAAATGCACATGTAACAAGAAAAACACAAACTTGTAGCTATCGAAACACTGGGGGGAGAAGGTGACCGTATTTACCACACACATTGTGAATTTAATGCGTTAAGATTTACAATTTATTCCTGATTGATATTTACAATATAAAATACTGTCAAGCGAATGTTGATATCACGTCAAATAATTTTATAACGGTACATCCTTGAGATCCACTTTGATTTTGAAAGCATGTTATACTTCCGTATATATGTCACCTTAACGCATTTAAAACCCTCTTCGAACCTTTTATGTTAACTTAACCCATTTCAAACCCTCTTCAAACCTTTAATTAATAACAAAATGTGGTCTTTGAAATCATTTAGAAAGTTAGACCTAAACGCTTTCATCACCTTCTCACAACTTTGAGATAATTTCTTGAAATAATTATTGGGTCTTTTACCATAGTAAAATAATCGACATTGAATCGTACTCTATATAGGGTTAAATGCGATCTTTCTCAATAAGATAGTTTAATGAGTTCTTAAGATGATCCAACTTACACATGTCTGCATAACGTAAATGACTCCAGTTTTATGTTTAACTAAACATACCTCTGATATATATTGTCATGAAACTCTGCGATGATCACCTAAAAGTATATATCAAGCCACCATTTTGTTGAAGCCAAAGACTATCAAGTGCATGTTCATAGAAAGTCATTGAAAGTGACGCTTGGGATTTTTGGCAGCGACTAAATACTTGTAAAGAATAAGTCTTCCATTATCAACAAGTCCATTATTAACAATGAATAATAGTCTTCTTCAACATTAGTTTCAATCGTAGAAATATAACTCTGCATTCCGCTTATGATATAATTCAGTATTATTGTCATTATGCTTGGAAAAGTTTCACTGCAATATAAAGATATATTATCCCTCATTTATGGACTTAGAGGATATCTGACCTTTCTCAAAGGTCAAATATCCCAGTATATTGTGGTATTGAATGTATTTCATAGTTTTATTTGTTCTTCGATATGAGATGTACATGTAGACACTTCTTTTGTTTATAAATCAGTGCTGGGAACACTTTAGACTCCTCTTTTAAAGTACCAAGAGTTGAAATTCAGTCACTAATAAAGTTAATTTTAACATCCATCTTTATATACACTATTCCTTTTAATTTCTTATTTTATTTTATTAAATATTTATTTTTTTTTTTGTTTAAATTTTACTTTTTGTGTTAGTCTCACTTATTAAGGTAAATAAAAATTTATATAAAATTATTAAACCCATATCAGAGATGTTGCTAGAGTTGGACTTAAGTAACTGAGGTCCTTCTCAAAAATATATCAAAATAAAACATAAATAAAACGAATGTTAGTTTTTTCTTGCCGAAAGTTACGCGTCCTTATGACGAAAAGAAACTATTTCAAAGTTAGACGGATTCGAAATGCTAAGAAAAGACAAAGACAAAACTTTTAATTAATTTAATGAAATTTGGCTGACCATACATGCTGTTTTGAGTATTGCCGAGTATTCATTATCAGTGGTCTTGGGAAATATTCAAATTTCTTTTTAATTAGTTTAAGAAAATAAATGTAAAATGTTATTCATCTCATCAATATTACCTCTTTTGGGCTATGACAAAAATGCATGTTATGTAGAGCGTCACAGAAATATAAAATATAATAATTTTAAAATATAATAAAATAATTTGATACTAAAAGATACAAATGTTGATATTTGTATCTGCTTTGCCTAAGTGACGAGGCATAAATAGCGTCGGATTTATAGAATATATATTAATATTCGATATATCTATTATTTGCCCCAAAAAATATATATATGAGATGGCCATATTACCGAATAAACGTAGTCGTTGCCGAAATACTATTCTGAAAATCTTCTCTTATCTTCTATATTCATTATTGAATGAATACATGCTTTTTAATATAGTAAGCGACCCAGTAGGCTATGGATTTGTTGAAATTGAAAAGTAAAATTCAATTTCAAATATTTTGAGTTTTTTAATTGAACTAAAGAAAATGTTTCCGATTTTGGCTTGTAGAAAAGTTGATTAAAATTTTGTTATTATTGCTAGTTATTAGTATTTCTATCCATTAGCAAGGTGTGAAGTCTATTGCTAAAGTTTTATTAGACGTGACGTACACAAAATGCTTTATACAAGCATTAATGAAACTTTATATTTCAAAAACCAAAATGAATAAAAATAGGCCCAAATTCAAAATCATGAAACTTTATATTTTAGAAACCAGAACTATTAAAATATAAGCATATACTCGAAACTAATACATTCACGTCTACATATTAGGGCTACAGATTCAGCCTATGGGGTGCGGTTCTAACCTGTAAGGCTTGACTAATACTATATTACTGAATAGACATAAACGATGTCCATTGAATTTAATTTCATACACCACATAATATTTTATTGTACATATGAGCTCCATAGCTTGCCAAGATATAAGTCATTCTTGAATTTATATCCAATATTTTTCCCTTAAAAGAAAGAAAAACAAATAAAGTAAATCATTTAATTCATAATTTATCATTAAAGCAGCAATAAACATAAAAACCAAAGCTACCCTCAGCGACACTTACAAAACTGTTGCCAAAAAATTTAAAGACTGGGTTGGTTGTTGAGTTCCATGAAGTACTAAACTTCGCCTGTTTACGAGTGAAGCTCATTATTTAAATGACAAATGGTGAAAATCATGCAAATATTGTCCAAAACACAAAAACAAATATCAAAGCTACACATTTTTTTCTTCTCCCTCAAATTATTTGTGCTTGAGTACAATTTTTTATCTTCAATTTAATCTATATAGACATCTACGACATCTTCATATACGAGTGCGAGTACTTAAATATGTATTTGCATAGTCATATAGATACTACTTAAGGCAGTAAGGCATGAGTACAATAATAGAGATATAGTTATGACTGAAATATGTTTCCCTCTTGAAATGAAAGTAAAACGCCTTCATTATTTTCTTACACCCTTACTCTTTTTTTGAAAGGATTTGTATGCAACACATATAAAGGACACATATAAATATGTATGTCTTCTAGAGAATGGGCCAAAGGAGGTTATGAAAATTTGCTGCCTCTGCATAATTTCTTCGGATTAAAAAACAAATAGTCCTAGTCGCTTGTGTTTATTATATTTCCTACTCCTTTCATTTGGTCATAAATATTTTCAAGGATAATAGTATAAATTACAGCTATAAGAAATTATTTAACAGCAAACGACCTACACTTAAATTATAAAATATTGAAATGCATTTTCATTATTTTCTGTAAATTATCTCAGTTAATAAAAAACAGTATTTAAAATGAATAAACTGTAAATTTTCTTATATGAATATTTATAATTTATTTTTGTAAATTGGGCAGTGACAATATACAGGGTACGACCTTAACACCTCTTCTAAAATAAAGAGTTATTTCCTTGGTTTAAGAAACGAAATAATCGTGCGGATATAATTATTATTATTAAATTTTTATACTCATTATCATGGAGGTATAGAGTGTCCAAAAAATATATATCACTATCTATAGCCGAAAAAATCTTCAATACCTCAAATAACTTGAAACATGTACCAATTTTCGTTTAGCCTGCTTTAATTTGATAATAGGTCAAGGTTAAATGGGTTCAAAAATTATGATGGCTCAGAATCAATTTATTTAAGTAACGCATCTGTTTGAAAAACTTTCCATTGTCAGTAATGACAATAATCAATAATATCATTTATTCAGGTATTTTTCTCTAGGGGTCTTCATATTCGAGAGCATGGAAAAGTACATCAAAAGTTTTGTTGTATAACTGAAGAAATTGTTTAATTTTTTGAATGTTCACATTGTTCTCTATGTTCACGACTCTATTATCCAAGTGATCACAGACGCTATTAAGTACACACTCGTTTCATCATATCATGTGAATATTTATGGCGCCAGAACTTACCTTCTATCATCCATTATTTACCTATAATCCATTTTTGAAGTGGGCAACCCACTATTTTTTCGAGAAAAATGCAGAAGAAAGTAAGTGCCTCTGCATCTTACATATTTCTAATATATATTCTGCCCAATTATAATAAACCCCGATAATATTTTAATATGTTTATGATTGAAATTTGAAGTTTCTAATGTCACATCGTAATTTCAGTGGATAATATGTAATATTTATTTAGAAAATATTTATTTTCGAGACGGGAATATAACTAACTGTAGTTAAGGCAACTAACTACTTCATCTATTAATCTATATCACATGGGTGTGTGTACTTATCTTAACTTTATTTCGTCTTATCACCATTATAACATTGCTATGATATGTTTTTAAACATACTTTTTTCTATTGTGAAGATTAATATATATTTTATAATAATTGGATCTAATCACCTACACGTATTTTAAAGACGGTTTCTTGAACACACATTTCTTTCATATACGATTATACTACTAAAGTAGAGAGTATGCTAATTATATACTTTGTTGTTATTGTGTACTAATAACAATCTTTCCTAATACATCAATTTATAATTTTCTTGACTGAAATAATATTATTATATACCCATAATTAATAGAGTATCATGAAAGATATAGCTGTTATAAATATATTCCCTAAACATTCACAAGTAATAAACTTAGACATCCTTTACATGAGAAATTTGTATTATTATATAACATCATCGTTCATAGTTACACAAAGCTTCATTGACAGTCTTTCTCTAGCATTCACCGTTAATTACCTTAATTTTTCCAATTTAGGATATTAACAACTCTTTACTCTGCTTCTGTTTCATGTAGATTACGATCTTTCTTTTATTGTAGAGCCTTCTTGTTTTCATATCACATTTTTTATGTATACTGACATCTGGCTTTCGGATAACGTGCCCAATCAATTTTAAGGAATACATTGTGTTTAAACAAAAAATATGATAGTTTTATTGCTAGACAGTTACCCTACCTCGGTGATGTCATTTTTCAGTTATTTTTCTGAACTCTGGGCTTTCATGAATTTCCTGCGTATTTTCTCTTAACGATTGTCGTCGTATAACTTCAGATTTATGTTCACACTTGATAGCCGTTTGTTGAAAATTAACTATCTTTTAGTAGATACATGTATTTTAATAGATATATACTTCGATATAAAATCACTCAAATTGATAATGATTAATTCGGTGAAAAAATACCATCCTTCTATTAAGTAACATTTGCGAAAAAACCTACCCTTAGGTTTGTCATTACTATGATCTAAAATTAGTTATTTATGAATAACAAATATGGTAATATTAGATTTTAAATACATTTAAATCCATTAATTTATTTTTTATCCAGTAAATTTATTAACTGGCCATATAACTATTACGGATATATTTATTCGAAATTTTTTAAAAAAATTAATGTGTTTTATTGTCCGAAGAAAATTGGTATCCTATCAAAACTTATACGGCTATGTAAAATGACATTAAGCATCACTATTAACTCCTTTAGAATTGAGAAGCTCTCCAAATAGTTTAACACCATGTGACGCTTAGGCAGGGTGATATCTTAAAGCTAATGTTGGAAACGATAACCTAAGCAACCAGTGGCGAGGCTAGACCAGCTCTGGACGTCGGCGACATAAAAATTTTGAGGCTCCTTTCATTACCAAGTTAAAAAAGTAAATAGTTTACATTCACTAATATGACGCAACATGTATAAAAGTATGTATTGCTGATCAAATTAAAATAAATACCAATTAAAATAAACGAATTATCCTACTATTAGCCTTACTCAATTTTTTTTTAAATCATACCATAATTTCCACCATCTGCTATTTTCACTTCAATTGATAGAATTGCCAATGCAGATAGTCTCTGTTAGCTAATTATACATCTCAAATAGATCTTCATCAATTTTAACTTTGAGGAGTTTCTTTCAGTAGAAGCTATACTAACTGGAACTGTGAGCATGATTCCGGTTAATATATAAATATTTGAATATACTTCCTTTAAATTCTTTTCTTTAATATACCCGACGAGTTGTTTTATATCGTTCATTGAGTCTAGTAAGTGATTTTAAAACCAACAGTTCCTCATACAGTTCAGTAGGTCGAATTATACTTAGAAAGCATTACAATGCTTGAGAAGGTCTTTGCTTGGTATACTTTTTATATGATTAATGTCTTATATGAAACCAAATTGTTCAAAATATTCACTAAGTACTTTGAATCGGCAGTTAGTAGCTATTTGCGAGGCCCCTGTAGGCGTGAGACCGTCAGCGGTCTAGCGCCGCCACTGCGAGCAATAGATTTCAGCCGTACTGACACAATATTTTATAAAAATGTGATCAGTTTTTAAATTTATACTTTCGAAGTTCTTTATCAAATTATTACCTAAAACAATTATAAACCTTTCTTTGGAACTTTTTCACAAATATGAATGAAATATATATATATTACTTATTAATAAATGACAAATCAAAATGAGGATCTCTGTTTCTCTAAAGATAATTACTAACGTATCAAATGTAATGAATTACAATAGTCATTCAGAATTTTGAATTTATATTTGCAAACAAATGATACTGCAACTGATGGTCACTATAAGAGTTATAATTTATAATTTCTGAATATTTTACTTCACTATGACTTCTGTACTGTATTTGTTTGCAAAATAAATAAATATCTTAAAATATAATTCTAGTTCCTTACAAAAATAAAAAAAATAAAAATTCTGTAAAATTAGACTTAGAGTTATAAAAGTTCGACTGTATATATAATATACATAATATATATAAAATACATAATATATGTAATATACATAATATACTTAATGTATATAATATACATAATATATATAATACATATAATATATATAATATGCATAATGTACATAATATATATAATACACATAATACGCAGTCATACAAACACACAAGCATACAAACATACAAGCATTCAAACAGACAAAACATACAAACGTACATA